AAAAAGAGTGTAGATAATCTGGTATATATGTTGTAAATTGTTCTAATTACACACTCAGTAAACGCGGGTATTGTTAACTCGGTGAAGCTTACTTTTCCAGTTCTACTCTAACTACATGGAGAAAGTTGTCACTGCAACTAAGTATCACTACCTCTAAGGGGCCGACCATTTAACTCTTGAGAGGGGGGGTGGGTGATTTTGAAAAAAAATTTCCTGCAGGCGCTTGTCGGAAGAAAAAAATTACATGCAGCACAAAGGTAATAGAGAGCTTATGGGAAAAAAAGGGAAAAAAATATCCTGCCCACCATATTGCTAGGAAAAAAAATTCTTGATGACCAGAAATCACCCACCCCCACCCTCAAGAGTTAAATGGTCGGCCCCTAAGGGTTATTTTTAACTGCTCCGCCGCATTCTTGAGTCCTCGTGCATGACCTGCACACCACGCACTATTATTTTTGAACAGGACAGTTGTGCTGCGCAAATATAATAAATACCCAGTCTTATCTAATTTATTCGACATGTAAGCACAATTAACGTTGGTAAAAAGGCCGGAGGTAAGGCTCCTATTACGATATCATACTTGTGACACACAGTAACTCGATCCTTAACCGTGGCCACCAACTACAATTAATTTCAATACTTTTTCTGTAAAGAGCATGATTTCTTTCTCATTTAGGTATAAGGTTTCTAATTTATGGCTAAATTTCTAAGTGCATAATTAATGCGTCCTAATTGTTTTTATGACACCTTCTTTCGTAGTCACAAAGCTTTAGACAAGTACAACATCTGTGCATAAAATCAATACCCTCCGACCTTACATTGCGAAGTTACAGCGATTTGAACAACTGGCCTTCACAGACAACCCCGGACAAAACTGTTGAGACAATTCCATCTATTTTCTAACTTTTGCGCCCTACTCCCGTCTCCCCTAAACACAAAAAGTAAACCCCCTCCCCACCCCCTATTCAAAGTTGCCTTGGTCTAAAAACCAACGTGTATAATTGCCATGCTATCCTAAACAACTTTGGATAAGGGGAGGGGGGAAATCAGGCATTCATTTGGCGGCGGTTTCAGTTTTTGCCGGGATGACAGGAAAAAATAGGCATTTTCGCGATTTGTCTCAACAGGTTTTGTCCGGGGTTGCTAGCATTCTGAAAGAATATCTTACTACGATAAGACCAGTTTTAGAATACGCTGTGCCCGTGTGGCAATCTGTCCCAGACTACAGTACTTGGCTGGTGTAATAGAGTCAATGCAAAAGAGGGCACTTAGATAGTTTTCCCCGCAGAGGAGTCCTATACGGAGGCCCTGGGTCAAGCTAACTTGACTTGCCAACACTGTGAGAGAGAAGAGAAGACTTATGCTACAAATATATGGAAAAGATGAAATCCAGAGACCATCCTCTATTTAAATTGTTACCTAGGCCAGTTGCAGGTGCTTGTAATTACAAGCTCAGAAAAAAACTTCGAGAAATTCCTTCTATTTAATGGCTAAATTACTTGTAGGACCAAAAGAGCAGATTCATTTTCAAATTTGTAGTATTTTTATAGTATATTTTGTAAAGCTTTGTAATTAGTCTTGTAAATTTTTAAGCTCACCAATTCAGTATTAATTTTATTGCGACGAGTTTTAATAAACTTACTTTATAACTTACTTTATATTAACCCAGGTTTCTATTAGGCATGTTTCCCCATCTTTGCAGCTTCTGATTAAAATTCGCTCTGTGCCGACCATAAACTAGAACATCATTTATTTATATTCTCAGTGCAATCGGTTGAAACTGACCCGTGTATCGGAAAAGGTTTCAGTGGGTTTACTACTTCCATTTGTATCCTCTTAGGTGTCTGTTGATGAAAACCTTTTTCGTTTTCATGTAACGTAATATTTCTGTCTAGCCTGTGTCAGCATGGCAGCTCAGTAAGGCCACCCTTCGGCGTCTGGTTTGTTGAGCCTCACCTCATAGCCAGATCCTGTGTTACATTTATATGGTGCCGTGACCAAGAGGATTGCAAAAGGATTGATATGGTTAGGCGTATGAAGAAGAAAATTATACGCTTCCTACTGTCAGAACAACAAATGAAATAATTTTTCGTCTTGTTGATGAAGTAACATAGTTCATGTAAATATAACTTCTTCCTTCTTTGTTTTGTTTTTCTTTTTTCCTAGTTGTATTTCCTTTGATTTTACCCGCTACCTAGAACCTAAATTGTTCAGGGAGCTAACAAGAAAACCAACTGGTTCATTTAGCTCCCTAGCTTGCACATTATTTTCGTTACATTTAATATATCTTGTACTGTAATCAAATTTCCTAGAGTGTAATATTAACCATGTACATTGACAAAGCATAATAAAGATTATTATTACTATTATTATTACGTAAAGGTTGATTTCTGTATCAGCGGTCCTGATTGTTTCAAAATGACGCCGATCGATCTCCAGTTCCGCATTCCATCGTTTCAGATCATTCGATTCCTTCAAGCTGTCGTTTGTGTTCTGTGAGTGCACCCACATTTTGCCAACCATCTTTGGGGCTAACATGATTTGAATGTAAGTGGTTTTCCCAGTTTGACCACTCTGCTTAATAATCGTCGCAAGCGGATGCAAAGTTTGCTTCCTGCTTGCTCCTATGGCAACACATTCTCCCTTTACCGACAATAAGAAATAAAATAGTGTTTCTAGCTGGGTTACTTTAGGATAGCAACGATGATTCACAATGAAATACAAAAGACATGAAACCTCCTTCGGTACTCAAAGTGAAAGTAAAACATGTTACAACGTGGATGCAGTGCTCCGGCGAAGTACAGTACGAAAGTCGGTTTTAAATCAAAAGTTCCGTGTTTGTAATGTCTCGATCTAGCCATCAACATTTGATAATTCACACGCACAGTACATTGTATACAGACAATCAGGTAACTACCTGTGAAAAATTTTGTCGCCTAGGAGTTTCCAGAAGCTCTGACTGGAAGAGAATATATATATATAAGAAAGGTAAAACTTGTCTGGACTAGTTGTACCTAAAAGTGCTTATAACGCTAATAGTCGTTCGCCGTGCATAGATGTTAATTAAACTATGTTATTATCTGAAAAGCTGTATTATGAAAGTATGATGGCTTAACATACTTAATACGGTATGATAAAATGGAAGAAAACTACTGAAAATGATCTTCAATCTTCTTACCTTCTCGTCCTAACAAATCGGCCACGTAAGGAACATCCTACACGGAAAGAGAACGTTTCATTTCCGCTTTTCTCAGCAACAATGCTAAAGTTCGAGGTCTGAAATTTATTATCATTAATATCATTATTATCATTTTTAATAAAATAATAAATAGTCAGAAATGAACTTTATTAAAATCTTGTAAAACCTATACACAAAAGCAAAAAACTGCAGTATTGTAATTATAGTTCCTCGCCATATACATACATGAAATTCTTAAACTAAAAGCATAGGAGTTAGTTGAAAAATATATATATATATAAATTCATTGTAAAACATGTGCATGACTCAGCCGTCCATTATGCTTATCAATTAATTTCGTTTTAAAAACAATTCACTCAAAACACTATTTACACTTCATTTCAATTAAAAAAAAACACCTCATTTAAAAAGATTCATTTCAATTAAAAAAACAATTAATTTCGATTATTATCATTCAATATTATTATTATTATTATTATCATTGCTATTATTATGATTATTATTGCTATTATTATTATTATTATTATTATTATTATCATCATTAATTACACGATAGCTGAGCCCAATCGATAAGGGCCAAAGCTAAAGGTAGAAGTCTATTGTTGCTGTTATTATTATTATTATTATTATTATTACTATTATTATCGTTAATTTAAACAAAGAGATAGGGAAAGAAATTCTGATGTATTTTTACTACTTTTTTTTTACCCCAAAGTAACAATCGCTAAAATCCCCCGTGATACCAACCCTTATAACGATGGACGATTCTCACTTAGTTTGAGATACCTGTGGTTACTTTCATCATCTCAGAACTCGGTCTGGACGTATTGACCTCGCTATCGCTCGGCGGTCAATACATCAAGGCCTTGGTCTGAGATTTCCCTGTAACTACCTCACTCTCTGTTAATAGGAGGTAGATATTTAGGAAGTGTGGTTAATTAGTCAAATCGACCTGGAAAGGTTTGATGCCATCATAGACTACAATACCCAAAAGTATCATGGTAACTTTTAGAATGATGTTTTCCATCATCAAAGATAGCGAAATTCAACATTTTAATATTCCTTCTTACCTTCAATTTGAAAATTATCGCACTGTCCTAGCACGTCAAAAAAATTAAAAAGAGGTTTCCAAAAAATAATTGAAATATATAACAACCGGAACAGGCATAACAATCTTCAGTAACACTAAGGCAAATGAGTGCTTGCTCAATGGAAGCAGCAAAGGGGATTTGAGATGAATGAATGAGCAAAGGTTAGCCGACCCAAATACTTACATTACCTTAGAATACTATACACGTTGCCTGCCAAAATGAAGGGAAGCATGATGCCACAGAAGAAGATATAAGGATATTGGTTTGACGCTTGATATTATTAGTTGAAGAAGGTTAAAGATCTTTTTGGAGGGAGAGGGTGGAGGTGATCAGGTAGTGATGTCTAAATATTTGTCATTTGTAGACTTTTCAAAGCAACGGACCTGTCAATTCGAGTGGTTCTAAAGACTGTGAGAGAACAGGGTTCTATCTAGGGTATTTGAGGGGTAGAAGCCTCCCCCCCCCACCAAATGCATTGGTATCATTACAGAATAAGTAAGTATATAAGTAACTATATTGGAAAAATTATACAGACGCGACGAGGTGAGTGCAAACACTGGAACATTTCTCAAAATTGTGTCTAAGAATGCACCAGATTGCATCTCAGCGTATATTCATTTCAAAAATTAAGAGATTTCGACGCTAAATCAAAAATGCGTCCATCTTACTCGCTAACCTCAAAGTAAGTACTCTACCAACAACTCACGGGTTTAGAGCCCCTGTACGACAAAATCTTCCAGGTCGCTAACAAAAACTCTGAGGAACATGGTGTCTTCATGCACATAGGCGCGTCTGCGTAGTTGAGTAAGCGAGCAGAACAGTGGAAACCCACTTGCAATGTTTGCCTCCCTTCTTGGTCTCTGAAAGGAAGGGCTGTTAGGATCAGGTCTGAACTCGTCTATCACGTGTTCTACGTTATCTTGATCCAGTAACATGAACGTGACCTTCTGCCTGAATGGCCAGCGGAGAATCGCATCATACTGACCGCGCATGACCACAAAGAACACAGAGATGTGAGTTCCTCGGCCCATGCCATCTCCGTTTAAATATATGCGGGCGCACATCTTGTATCCACAGGGGCTGGTGAAAAAACAAGGGCTGAGGAATGACCTTTGCTGGCCATTGACTGCTTTGTTTCGCAGCCAGGAAAATTTTGTTATTTTCCAAACCAGGTGGCCGTCATAACTAGGAGGCAGTCGTTTCCTCATGACCTGCGCAACATTTCTGAGGGCCAGCGTGTGCTCTATGGAGTCAATCCTTCGTTCTAACCTCCTGGTGGTATCCTGGATGGTATCAAGCGGTCGCCTGGCATTACCCATTTCTCGATTTGCCTGCTTCATTGTGCGTCTTCTTTCTTCTAAGATCAACTCGTGCTTAGCCGTCGTTTTCTCAAGATTTGCCACCTGTTCGTTCGTTACGCTGCAAGCAGAATCAGCAGATGTGATCGCTTCTGAAAAAATACCTGTACTAACTCTTCTTTCCAAAGAGGCGATTCGTTCGCTCTGTTGTTGTATCTCTTTTTGAAAATGCCTGTCTGCTGCTATATTGGCTCTTACTTGAGAGAGTATGTCGGAAACAATGTCGTCGTAATTTCTGAAGATACACAGCCTAGACATCATGCTGGGCTCATTTGTCAAAAGTGATTTCATTTGTTCACCCAAATGGAGTGCAAAGTGAAGAATCAACATCGTATGGTAAGACTTTGCCTTCTTTAGGTGTTCTATCCTCTCATTATGCCTGAGGACCTGTTACAAGAATGGAAAATAACTATATCCGGTTCCAATTCTAGGCTGTATGAATGAATCCAATTTGGCAACGGGAAACACTTGTTTAAATTGTGGTTAACAATGACTTTTTATCATAAAAACTGGCTTGCAGCTGCTTTAAAACAACTTTCAACCGAGAGCCTATTTTAATAGTGCATGCAAACTCACGGCCGCAAAGAGAAGCCACTTGACAAGAAACACACTATAGGAGATAGACCGTGTCCAGCTCGGTCCTCTCAGTACACGCATTCTTTCCCATTTAAGTTTGGTGCAGACAAACTGTATAACTGTGACTGGTGTCACTCCACCGATATTTCATGCCCTTTTTATGTGATATGATATAGAAAAACTGGCATATCGAAGGTCAGGGAGCTAGACGGAAACTGACGAGTTTATGCCGTTTGCAGACAAAGAAAACACAAGATATGAAACAAGAGAGTACAGGGTTGTAAACACAAGAAAACCGGCTCTAAGGAACATCTATGAACGTCTGCTGTAATGAAAATACCTCAGCTTTTGAGCATCCAATCTTAGCGAATGGGCATAATCCCTGTACTCCATCCGCAACTTGATCCTGATGCTCTGCTAACTAAACAGTCAATTGTGATCAATTAGTAAGACTTAATTGCCAACGAGCAGCCTCGCGAAGACGCGAGGCTGCGAGGCGAGAGCATAATAAAGCCGTGCGCGAAAGTTCTAAGGCTGAATGAATCTGATCGAAGCGATGTAACGTAAGGTAGTAAAAGGTAACTTTTATGACGTAAAGCAGAACAGAGAAAGCACTGTTTTCGAGCGAACACGTGCATATAAGTATAATGCATGAGTGAGTTCCATGACGGAAACACGACTAACCGGCAGCCTGTATTCTTGTAAATTACGGTAATTCATGACATTTCTGAACAAATCGAACAGCACGCGCGTATAGGTAAAATCTTTACTTGTTGGCACTTAGCGATTGCTATAACTAGTCAACCTTTTAAATAAACGAATCAACGGATGCTTGGACTAAGAGATGATCGAAGGGATGGACAGGATGAAGAATCAAAAGGAATAGTGGAGGGAGGAAAGGCGGGAAGTGGAATTAGACTTAGAGGGTGGTATGGTATGAAGCGGGGATGGAGGAAGAAAGAGGTAGATAAAGTGATGAAGGGTTGGTGGGCGGAGGGAGGCTTCGCCGCCAAATCTCACTCGACTAATACACTATACCGCCAGCTACGCAGGCTAATAAATACATAGGCTTCGAGGTTCCGATGAATATTAATTAATAGCTGGATGACAATACGTGGATTATATTTGGGCAGTCTATAGCCAATGGTAGATTTATTATGTAACACAGTAACTAACCTCCAGCAGATAGAACTCTTCACCATCGCATGCACATGATGAGTTAGTCGCCTCTCCGCTGGAAGATGAATAGTCACAGCAATTTCAAAATTATCAGAAGGAGCTCAGTAGAAGTAACTAAGTTTAATGCTAGACCACTGGCGCGGAAAGGGTTCGTTAATTGCCTTCGAGGATCAAAACACCCCATTCCCCATAAATACATTGAAAACGGGGCTTCGTCTGAAATACATGCGTTGACAGTTAAGAAATCTATGGTTGAAGAGATTTGCCACAAATTTCCTCGAATTGTTATTCCGGAATACGATCAACGGAATACACTCCAAGCCGTAAGGAAAATGAGGAACTACGTATTCGTAGTCTAGCAAAATATGGAAACTTCTGACAGTGTGTACAAATTAAATATCACGAGAAAGTCACGTGCATGTTGTACGTGCGAAACTGCATGCAGAATATTAACGAACTGCTATGACTGGTTCCACAGTTAACTCTGAGGTAGGGTTAGATCGATACATTATGCTGGGATAATTTTGAGCATAATTTTACAGTCGAGTAAAATCGAGTATAATGCTGTGCTGCGAAATTGTTTACTTTCAAGTGCTTTTAGCATGATTAACAGACTTAACATACCGTAATCAAAAGCTTGGTTGATAGCTTTCAATGCGACTTTGTAATGCGGTCTTGGTGCACCGTTGCATTTTGCTAGCCTGTTAAGGCTTGCCAGTGGTATAATCCTGCAATACAATGTTGTGTTTCTGACTTTGTCTGCGGGGATGGAAAAGGGCATTAAATATACCAGGATCAGTCAAGCATAATGCTACTGACCAGGTGACTGACTTCCCGAGCATAATTTTAAGCTTAATGCTGTTGTTTTTAGGGTGACGCTAAAGCATAATGCTCAAATCCTCAAATTTTAGAGCATAATGTATCAGTCTAACCCTGACTGAGGTAACCCCAAGCTCTTTAGGACACATTGCATAACAGCGTATAAAATGTGAAGAGTTTCTACGTTTGGAAATGTAACGATCGTACATGATAGATCAAATTATGGCGGAAAGGAAATTTCAAATAAAAATGCGACTTTGTTCTCCTCCTCTTTGTATTACCTATGTTTCCGTGGCGTTTAGAGCCGTTCCAGAGCGATTCCAGGGAGTTTTAGCTCGCTGGTTTTACTCTGCACGGCGGTTGACGCAGTCCCAAAAGAGCTTGAGCTAGCTTTACTGGTATTTTTGTGAACGATGTATTTATGACGTTTTTGTTAGGGCCGAGAAACGCCGCGGATGCCAAGAGGTCACCTTTGGATGAAAGGGACGAAAGCGATTTACAATATGAATTGTTTATTTTTACATGTACAGACTAAAACATTCAAGCATGGCTCGGGAATTGAGACTTCGTACGTTCATGTACAATCGTCGTATCGGCTCACCCTAAACGTCCCAAAGTGTGGCTAGGCCGAGATTAATTTAACTAAACCAGCCGTTTTACGGCCTCGGGTCTATCCAGGTGATTGCGATAGCCAAGCGTTGTTCGGATTGTCCCGTTTTGCATCAAAGGAGTTTCCATATAAATATCGCCTGAAACATGATGATCATAGACGATCGACACAATATTGGGACGATTATCAAACCAGGCTTAATTGAAATCGATAGCCACTGCTGTGCACCAGACTTCTTTTGAAGTAAACAGCACACTCTTCAAAATAGTTTATTTATTACCGCTAGCGTAAAACATGATTATAGTATACTATCTATACTATAAGGCCCGGTTCAAACGTCGGATTTCACATGTGCCGAACTTAACGCGAGAGTTAAATGCATATGAAGTGCGACGTTTGAATCAATTAAATTCGACTGCTTAAATTAAATGCGACGTTTGCCGTATCTGGGACTGAAACAGTCGAAGATTCGACTTTTGATTCAAACGTCGCATTTCACATGTGCCGAATTTAATGCGTAAATTTTAGTAAATTATTATCATATCACTGAGAATATTGACAGCGAGCAGAGTTAAATTCGACAGAGTTCAGAGAGTTCAATTTGAAGTTTGAATCAAATGCCGTATTTAACTATTTTAGTCGACTAAAACAGGAATTAAGCTCGGCACATGTGAAATTCGACGTTTGAACTGGGCCTAAATCAAAGAAAACCTGTCAATGCAGGAAATTCTACAGTCTCGTGATAAATTGCGATGGTGCATTATGGGAAAGGGAAAATTCCCTTTCTCCACGTGGTAAAGCAAATATCAAAGCAGTAGCAAATTCGGTTCGATTTACTGACTTGTATAATAAAAAGGTACATTGGATATAATCTGCTTTTTACGGTTTTTGTAGCATTATCTAGGTTGCTGATCTATGGTTATAGTTTGTTCTACTAGTTTACGCAAATTTGAGCTGAATCAAATATTAACAGTAAATACAATGCACACGTATTTGACCGCGTTTTATTGACCTATTCGACACAGTTGAAGTGACCTATACATAACATGGCTATGATGAATAGTCAGGCGCAGCTCCACCGCACCAGTTTCCACCGTATCACTGAAAACAGTCAAATATTTCACAATGAAAGGTAAGTTTAAACTTAAATCAGTTTTTTTAAGTGAATGTGCGACCTAGTTTCCCTTCGTCTCTTTGGCTCACAAGTGATCAAAAAGTGATCACGTGTGTATTTGTGTCTGGATCTGTTCCTGATAGTGGATAGTAAAAGGAATAACAGCACGGAGCAAAGGAGCATATTTAATAAAAACTTCTTAATGTTAAGTTACTCAATAGAAAGCCTAGAACTTCAACATTTTAAGCAAAACGCTTCTCGCTTCCCGTTAAACAGGTCGCGCTAAACCTTTGTACTTGACATCTCTGATACGTTTGACCCTTCGCCACTTTTACCCCCCGAGATCACATCAAACCGATATCCGCAAATTTCCATTGAACGAAATTTAACTCAGGAAGATGAAACCAGCTTATCTTTGGTCATTAAACGAAATCGGACACATAATTAATAAAGTTCGCTATTCGAACGAAAACAGACTTTCGTCACGGTTGGGGCCGGTTCGATTTTGTTTGAAGATCAAGCTTTGAGCTAAACTCAACGAGCACAACTCACTGTCGGCGCCATTTAAGTTCAGCGCTTTATGTAGGAGAATACAAATCCGCGTCTTGTGAGCAGAGATAGCTTCTTTATCGTAACAGTGCTTCATCCTGCAAAAAGCTATTTTTTTGTTGCAGATAATGCTGCAAGAAGCGCAATAACGCAATTGCAAGCTTTCAATGCGAATGGCCGCCATATTGAATATTTGCTGTTTTCCGAACAACACCAATTACACGCATACTTACTTTAACTATAAAATTATGTACAAAAATCTCTTCTTTTAATAATTTCACATTTTACGGGACAAAAACAAGTTTAAGTGAGCCTCAAAAATCGCTGCTATATTACTATTACAAATGGTTCTTACCTCCAAACTTGTGAGACCGCCATCGCCGACAAGCACCCTAGCGAATGTTAATTGCCGTAAAAGGAATTCGCCAAGCGACATGTTCCGGACTTCCAGTTCCCAGATCTTTCTGGCTTCTTTTAGCCGGTGGGGGCCTGTAGAGGATGAATATTTTATTAGGGGTTTTTTTTCTTCCAAGTTTATAAAACTCGCTTCCAGGAGATTTAATCATAGTCTCCGACACAAGTAAAGAATGGTTAGCCAGTGCCCGTTAAATGCTCAAGCAAACAACAGTAACTGAGTAGTTTCAATCTGAGTTTTCCTTTTCTTCACCCCATGTAATTAATGGAAGGTAATCCAAGGCAGTCTTGGATTCTGGATTTCACGCAGTAAATTCAGGTCCGGATTCCTTGTAATTGGGACCTGGATTCCGAATTCCAATCGTTCGGCGGGATTCCACATTTTTTGAGCTGTCCAGATTCATTACATGGGGAGATATTCTTATTCTTCTCCTCTTTCTCTTGAAAACTGTTGTTTCATAAAATTAATGTAGATTACCTCATGGTTAGAATCGCAAACGAACGGGTGAGCGCAGAGTACGAGTCTGTTTGCGACTCTTCAAAACATTACATGTAATGATGACCATAAAGTTGTACAAGCGAGTAAATTGTTTAAAAAATGAGTAGCGAGATGTTACCAATGTTTTTTGTTTATTTGTTTTCTTTCGTTGTACTTTTTATCACAGTCAAATAACAGTAACAAGAAAAAAAATGCAGACAAAATAAGCATAACAAAATTGATCGAAAAATGATTAACTTACAGTTTCACTTTTATCATGGATCAGGCTTCTCAGGAGTCGCCGTTTTTAACAATTCTTTATCTTGCAGTATTTTTATTTCCTCGTCTGTAAAAGCAATTTAAGTGATAGGTTTATTTCCTTGTCTTTTCCGTTTAAGATCCTAGTTGTGATAGTAAAGCTTGGCTTGCCTGTTAATCGGCGTTTTCCATAATGCTACATGATTAATTCTTCTGCTTTGGATACCATTTAAGACTGGCCATCAAAGAAAGTCATAGTCTTCGTTGTTGTCCTCCATCGGCTTTCGAATCGTATACTCGCTGATCGTTCACTTTCATGTACCTCGGCAAGTCGCGGCATACAAAACGTGGGAAAACCAATACGATTTTTTTCTTTACTAGTGGAAATTCGTAAGCGGCCTAATTGGTCATACGATATTTTTCACTACTGGGAAAATTCTTATTAAAAATCAGATTAATTCTAGCTTGGATAGATTCTTTACGACTATTTTATTTGACAACTTTTTTAGAGTACATCTCTTTACTAATATACAGCTATTTGGAGAAAGCTTGTCGGAAAAAGTGCACGCGACAATCCCGAAAGGTATTGTGGGTGGTTTTGAAAAGAAGTCTGAAAGAATGACACGAGAGGCCATGGACGTGTGTTTGCGAGTGCTAAAGGAAAGCAACAAAAGCAGGTTCGACAGTTACAGTGTCAGGAACAGTGTATTGATCATATCCCATATTACACTTCGAGATTGTCGTGTGCACATTTTTTCCGACAACCTTTATCGAAATAGCTGTATATCAAATACGAATACTCCAGCAAGTTTGTGTAAATGGCAAACTTTTATTTCCAGGACGTGCAGCTATGCCCATCTGCTTTAATTCTGTCAGTTCTGAACGATTACGTCTCAGCAAATCATAGGTACTTGCTTACAGCAAGAAACATGGTCTCTTTGTTGCAGTTCAAGGGGCAGGGGAGCGTCAGAGGGTCCGAACTCCCACACTCCGACAATATATCCGTCAGATCTGATCATTTTTTATAGTGATTTGCTAACTCCCACGATATTGTAAAAAAATCAATATCCAAAAAATCCCCTGAAGCGTCATTAGCGTTGAATCTCCCATGCGACGTTTATTTTGTTCGATGTAAGCGTTAAATACAGGCCCTCTATTTCTTATTTTTGTTTCTCTGAATTGTCACGACTTTTGCAACAAACCGATCCTGGAAAATATAAAGAAAATAATTGACATGAACAATCAGAAATGTACTTTATTGGACTTACTCTATCCAAAACCATCTTCCTCGGACCTCATAATACTCTAACCAAAACCATCTTCCTCGTACCTCATAATGCATTATTAGACTTGCAGACAGCTGTCCTTCTTTCATAACATTTTTTTTGCGGATCAGTAACAAATTTTATAAAGACTACTGTTAGGCTACTTTTAGGCTACTTTACCGTAGAGGAGCTTTATCCGGATTTATTGCTTTTAGGGTATTCGAATTCGAAGGTGTTTACAGACCTCGGTAAGTCCGAGAACGCCGTTTATTCGGATATCTGAAAGTATTCACTTTACACCTCGGATACTAAATCTTTGGAAAAGTGATCAAACAGGGGGAGGTTCACTTCGAATTCACGCATCTACGGCGTGTAATCAGCAGCAAAACGAATCCGGTACCAAAACGGCCCGGATTCGTCACGAATCCGCAAAACTCTCCTCTACTGTAAACCTAGAATGAGTATGATAACACTGCGGGTCGCATCAGCGACTCTTAAGGTTAATCTCTGCTGAGGGTTCCCCGTCGGGCTGACACCTTCCTCGCGGCTTTCAGTGCCTGCCGTCATACAAGCCTTGTGCTAGGGGTTCCCCGTTAAGCAGGTGATTGGTCATTTTTTTTTTTTCGTAGATCATGTAGCAATGGGCATATTCGACTGAACGGGTTGCTAACCCATTACAGTCTAGACCAGATGTCCAAAGACAGTGGGTCTGATCTCCCAGGGTTTGTCATCAGAGTCTCCTTCTCCTAGATCAGAGGCTTTTCAAAGCTATAGAACCTGATCTGTCCTGGTTTGAATTCGGAGTTGCCGTCTCCTAGGTGAATGCCAACCAAGGCTTATGGACTCCACCAGTCCAACTAGATTACCATTGGCTCACAATGAGCTCATCCACCCTTTTACAGGATTTGTTTTCAATCCTCAAGGGTGTCCACTCACCCACTTCACCAGCACTGCATCGTATCGCAGATTATTGTGAAATGAAATGAAATACGATTACCCTTACTGTATTTTGAGTTCCTGTGTCGCTTTCAAGCGATCTGGACTGGTTTTTCCATCCTATCTCAATCTTCATTATAAAGGGACTAGATCGGGAGTCTACGCTCTTTGGTGGCTCCTCTTTGATCACGGGGCAGTCAGTATGAGGACCTTTAGTCCTTATAATATGGTTAAGGCAAGATCGCAAAACCAGACCAGATTGCTTCAAAACGACACTGGAATATAAAATACAGCATACGTAAGCGTATTTCATTTCATTTCTTCACAAAAAGCTCCGATACAGCGAATTTTTTCGAAACAAAAATGTTTGCATATGAACCTTAAAAATCGGTTCGTTACGCAATATTGCAAGGTTTGCTAATTTTCAACAAGCGCTCGCATAGTGGCCCTAGCCTCGCACCAGGCTGCTAAATTGCCAAAACAAAGCAAGAAAACTTGCAGTAATAGCCGTAATCAACATTTATTGAATGAGGCTGAGTATGATATGGTGAAGAATTATGTATACCGAGGAGAATGCTAATAACATCCTCCGAGATCAGCATAATTCTTCACATCATACGAAAGACGACTTCAATAACTGTTTTATTATTCATTCAAAATGTTTCTAAACTTACCTCTCCGTTGACTCAGTTTCTTCAAAACTTTGGGCTATTTCTCGGCATAGTTTTAGGATATAAGCAGATCTTTTTTTCTTGCACATTCTACTAAAAAAACTAGATAACATAAATCGAGCACTTATATTTTGCGTATTTTGCATTTCTTCCGTTCATTTTTAGTTACGAAATTCAGCCATTTAGTCTTCGGATAGCCATCAAGGTCATTTTTGTTGTTGTTGTTCACTACTGCCCAAGGAGCCTTATTCCCTGGCAAATATACTATCGAGCAACCTCGTTTCCAAACAAATACACCACCGGATCGATGGTATATTGCTCGCATCTTCCAAATTTGATCAACGCCGATAGGTTATAAAGATTAGCCGGGGGAATTTGAGCCAAACAGAAACGGCGAAATATTTTGATGAATGATGATGAAAATTATTATTCATTCAAAATATTTCGCCGTTTCTGGTTGGTTCCAGTGCCCCAATAGACCTGCATTGTTCTAAACCTCTTATTTCACTGGGTCCCCTTTAATCTGGACCTCCATTGTTTTCAGGGATAGGGGCATTGTTATGTGACAATCCCTACTGTTTTCCCACCTAATCAAAAACAATCTTTCAAATAGGTGGGGGATCGCCAGGCTAGTTCTTCATAACCAACGGCATGGCGCTTACCATATTTGAAAGATGCGAAAAATATACTGTTCATCAATTCGATAGTACATAACCATATTTGTTCGGAAAAGAGGTTGAGTTATAATTTCCCAGAAATAAAGCTGCTTGGGCAATAGTGAACAACAACAAAAATGGCGTTCAAAGCTAATTCAAAGTCGAAATAGCTTAATTTCTGACTAAAAATGAACGGAAGAAATGCACGAATACGCAAAACATAATTGCTTGATTGATGTTATCTACTTTGAGGAGAATCTCCAAGAAAAAAAATTGTTTACATCCTGAAACCGTGCCGATAAATAGGCCGACGCCGTTTGAAGAAAGACTACGAGGAGGTAAGCTTGTTCAAGAAGACCTTAGAAATATGTTGGATGAATATTAAAACAATTATTGAATTCGGCTTTTGTATGATGTGAAGGAGAACTATGCGGATCTTGGAGGCTGTTATCCTTATCCATAACATTTTCTCTGATCTGCATAATTCTTCACATCATTCTCAGTCTGATTCAATAATTGTTAATTATTACACTTCCATACTTAACTCTATATACACCTAACTGAAGAAACGTCATCAAAAAACGCCACACGAGACAAAGACAATGTAGAAACAGAGGAAAGATAACTAATTATCCTACTCAGCCTCATTCATTAATTGTGCTAAATATCTGTGGGTCAGATTTTACGGTTCTCGTCTTTC